GATACCAAACTGGGAGGAGTGGCCGACACTCCCGAGGGCTGTGCTGCCATTCAGAGAGACCTAGACAGGATGGAGAGTTGGGCAGAGAGGAACCTCATGAGGTTCAACAAGGACAAGCGCAGGGTCCTGCACATGGGGAGGAATAACCCCAGGCACCAGGACAGATTAGGGGTTGACCTGCTGGGAAGCAGCTCCGCGGAGACGGATTTGGGAGTCCTGGTTAACCATGAGGCAGCAATGTGCCCTGTGGCCAAGAAGGCCAATGGGATCCTGGCCTGCAGCTTTGCCAGCAGGTCGAGAGAGGAGATCCTGCCCCTCTGCTCAGCTCTGGTGGGGCCGCACCTGGAGCATTCTGGGCTCCCCAGGACAAGAGGGACGTGGAGCTTCTAGAGAGGGTCCAGCGTAGAGCCACAAAGATGATGAAGGGACTGGAGTATCTATTGTATGAGGAAAGACTAAGCGAGCTGGGCCTGTTTAGTCTGGAGAAGAGAAGACTGAAAGGAGACTCGATCAACACATTCAAGTACCTGAGGGGTGAATGTAGGGAGGATGGGTCCAGGCTCTTCTTTGTGGTCGCCGGTGACAGGACAAGGGGTAACGGGTGCAAGTTGAAACACAGGAAGTTCCATCTCCATGTGAGGAAGAACTTCTTTCCTGTGAGGGTGCCAGAGCCCTGGAACAGGCTGCCCAGAGAGGTTGTGGAGTCTCCTTCTCTGGAGATCTTCCAAACCCGCCTGGATGCCACCCTGTGCCACGTGCTCTAGGTGTCCCTGCCAGGGAGGTTGGACTAGATGATCTCCAGAGGTCCCTTCCAACCCTAAGAATTCTGTGATTCTGTGAATAATATTAACAGCCTCTCTTAATTTAATGTCATATCCTTCAAGGTTATATTGTGTATTTTCTTCCATGTTCTCTTGTTCTGAATGATAAAATAACCTTAAATTGTTTTTGCAAAGCTAATGTTCATGCTAATGTGACCTATGCTTTTCTTCTGGATTGGATATTTATGTACACAAACTAGGAATTGTTTGATTTGAATGGGAGCATTTACAAATAACGAATAGAGCATGTAATTATCCTTGGTGACTTGCATGTGGCTTTTTTTTTCCCTATAAACAAAAATAACTTACACTTTGTTTTGGAAAAAAGCATCATGGCTGATGATTCACTCGTGATATGTTGCTGTAGGCAGACTTTTCATGGTACTTTTTCAGGTAAGGTATTGTGCTGTTTTAAGGAATATTAGTAGATGCTGGGGAAACCTTTGCTAAATTCAGGATTATTTCTGTGAATAGAAGATACAAAGACATGAATTGTTTGACTTCAAGTACTGGCTGTGTCATAGTTCTTATTTCTTAAAAAGTAGTATTGTTTATAATATAATCTTCCCAAGGGTTAAAGATCCAAGTTTCTTATTGATTTCCACCAAGTTTGTGCATTAATAAGTGTCTTACTTTTCTAACTTGAAATGCAGGTGTAGATTTTGGCTAAAACGGGATTTGGTTTATAATTATAGGAAAGAAATTGCAGACTTTCAAGAGCAGAAAATCCAAGAGCTGGCTGAAATAGAAGAATATAAGAAGAAAGAAATGAAAAAACTGCAAAAAGAGCGTAAAGTTTTTGAAAAATATACTACAGAAGTTAGAGCAATTCCAGATAAAAAAGAACGTGATGAAATTCAGGTATGCCAATACTTATTCTTCTAGTCTACGTGGGGACAATCTAAATCAAATCAAAGGAGGCTAAAGACTAAATTTTAACTTAATTTGAAAAATTAAGTGACTTCAAGTTAAGTATTTTAATATTTATAATATCATGTTTGAGGGTTTTAAGGCAAAAAAAACCCCAAAATACCAACAAAAAAACCCTTGATGAACAATTTTTGTCGTTATAAGCACTAGGAAGTGCTTATAACTGTAGCACAATGTTCTGAACTCTTGACAGAAAATTAGTTAATACCAATTTGCAAGTTTTTATTCACATAGTGGACCAAAATGCAAAATAAAACTGTTTAAGTGTGTTTCTTAGAAAATAGTTGCCTCTACAATTTTCACAGTTACGCTTTGCAATTACTTGTCAGTCTCTGAATGTCAGGGCTGTAAGAGAAAGCTCCATTTTGCCTCATGATCATCATGGCTGGGTAATAACTGAGATGTACAGTCAGTTATATTAAACATCACATGGATTTCTCCTTTCCCCATATAGTTATTTGTTGAATTTCTTAGCTTGCTTTGATTTGTTGAAGTAATGTCACTTAAACCTAGGCAGAATCATGGGCATTTTACATGACTGTTCTCTCCCTATTCTTCCATGCCAAGATTTTTAAAGGATCTTCTTTAACATGTACTGTTAAAAATCTAACATTTCTGACTCTTGTGCATTTGTGCTGGTCAGCCTCTTGAGTGCAAAGGATGTTGAGGGGCTATAAGGCACTTCCTGTGGTTGAAGTAGAGATTATGAAGTTAGTCTAAAGTAGTACCTCTTTTGGGGTACTATTTCTCCTGCCTTTCAGACTCTACCATTAAGCAGGTCTTCCCTTTCTTTTTGTCAGTGTCTTTTGGACATCTGTTTTGTGCTTATAAATTTTTATTAGACCATTAATATATTTTAGCATATTAAAAAATACACCTTTTTAAATTTCAAACATATATTTTTCTAAGGCTTTGAAACAGCAGATTGCAGAGTTACAAGAAGAAATAAAACAAAAAGAGACAAAATGGTTAACAACTCAGAGACGTCTTAGAGACCAAATAGAAGTTTTAGTAAATGAGAATTTGGAGCTAAAAGAAGAAGTCAAAATTATGGAGAGGTTTCGTGTAGAAGCCTGGAAGAAAGCTGAAGCTGCTGAAAACAAGAGGAAAATCGAAAATTTGGGGGAAAAAAGAGCAGAATCTGTGGTAGGTTATGTTTTATATTTGTACATTGTTTTAAGCTGGTCTGTGTGAATACTGTGAATTTGCAATCATCATCTTGGAATGTTAAAGACAAAACCGAGATATTTCCTTTAATTTAAAAATCTTGGGGTTCTACTAGTGGTGACAGACACAGAATTTTGTCTATGTCCCATTCTGTCCAAATGTAAATGTTTGTTATGTGCAGCTTGTGATCTCTTTAGGGACCTACTTAAAAATTCAAAACAATGCAATTACATGAGAAAAATGAATGGATGGGATCTAACCTGAGAACATCTGCAACCTAAGGATGATCCAAGCAAGCCAGCCAGTTCACCACTCATTAGTTTCAAAACCAAATGCAATGCTGTCACTACTGTTCTGGGTCACCTTCTATGCCACTGAACTTCAAAAACATATAGTTTGCATAGAAAGCTTCCAATAAACAGAATCACAGAATATCTGAGGTTGGAAGGGACCTCTAGAGATCATCTAGTCCAACCCCCTGCTCCAGCAGGGACACCTAGAGCACGGGGCACAGGGTGGCATCCAGGTGGGTTTGGAAGATCTCCAGAGAAGGAGACTCCACAGCCTCTCTGGGCAGCCTGTTCCAAACTTCTTATCAGATGTCAAAAGTTTTATTGCAAGTGTATGAACAGTTATGAATAAACACCATGAAAGCCACAACTAACTCTTACTAATCTCCTTCTTAGTGTCTGCCCAACAGAGGCCAGAAAAGTCACGCTCCATCTCCTCTCTTTCCAGCACAAAACTGCAGCAAGATAAGTGGCAAAGGTTATTCACGGGCAAAAGGTAGAAATGTCTGTTTAATCAGAGACTTCTGTTCATCCTTTCAAAGAAAATAACTGTGGATTTTTGTTTGTATTAAATAAAGAACATCAGCAACTTAAATGTAGATTGAGGATAGCTGAAGTGGACTGAAGTGTATGGATAAGCACAGTCCAGGGTATGGTTATGGGGGGGAACCCCCTTCCCAGAGCGCGGGTGTTTCTGGTCGCGGCAGTGGTCGATCAATGATTGTGCTGGCCCCCTCAAGCACCTACTGCCCCTCTCTGGAGGCTCCCACGAGCATGTGGGGGCTCCTGGCAGGCAGTGGTTTCCTTCTTCATGATGCCTAGTTATGCACCAATGCTGTCAGCAGCTGTACCTGTTCATGACGAATAATAAAACATGGAGTAATATAGAGAAAGCAGTAATAAGCCTGAGGGGGTTGGCTCACGCTGATTCATTTTATAAATGTACTGCTTTCAGCTTCTACTGCACGTAAGAAATGTAGGTATGCTGTACAGCTTTACCTCGTGTCTATTTATGGTAATTTCTAGACTTAAATAGTAGCTTTCTTTCTGTGTAAATTAACTTTATTATGTTTAACTTTATTATATTTATTTGAGTAGGAAGGCTTTCTAGAATACCTAAGTCAGCACCTGCTAATGATAGAAACCACATGGATGAAACAGTGATGGCACCAGATCCACTAGAGGAGGTTTCTAGGACTTCCATTGAAGTAAGTCCATTATCTTGACTGGGTTTTAAAAGAAGGGAGAAAATAAAACAAAGTAGTAGTACAGTTATTTGTACTTAAATTTGGAGTACCTGGAGGGTGACTTGCCAAGCTGTTGACTCAACCTTATGTTATTTAACAGCAATGTCATAATCAAATGAGAAAAACAGGTATGCAGTAATCAGTACACTGTTTAACTTGTATTCACAACTTTTGAACTTCACAACCTCCTCTGGTTGAGGAAAGAAAATAAAATGATAAGCTGCCAGCCCCTTGGATTTTGAAAATGTTTTTACTTTAGAGAAAGGGGAAAAAATGGCTATTTAGATTTAAAAAAAAAAATCTTGCAAGTGGTTGAATTATTTTTAACATTAATTGCTGTAGATAGCATTTAGGCTTTGGGAAGCTTCATACCTTGGTAAGGATCATTTTGGTCAGTTGGGTACCATGCCGAAATGAAGTCTTATTTCAATTCTTAAAAAAAACTGATCACTGATAAATTACAGCTGACCTGAGTTTACCCTTATATGCCTTATGAGTTGCATTAAATCTGACTCATGCTGTTCTAGGCTTCTTCCCCTCACATCTCGTTAGGTCAGAAAAAGCTGTACAAAAGCCAGCCCTGATGGCAAAGTTAATACTCTGCTTACTGTTGTCATTTCAGGACACCTCTCCTAATGAAACTCTTGTTTCAGTACCATCTGTACCTGCATATACAGGCACTGAAGAGATAGAGAGAGAAATTGCTTATCCTGATGGAAAGGTAAAATGTGAGCTTAGTATACTGAAATTCTTCAGGAAAACTGTTGTGAAAGCTTCATGGGGATGAGAATATGATGACAAATAGTGACTTTTCTGTAACCTATTCTTTAGGTTGAAAAGGTTTTAAAAAATGGCTGTCACCTCATATTTTTTCCCAATGGGACATGGAAAAAAGTGAGTTCTGATGCAAAAACTGTAACTATAACCTTCTTTAATGGAGATGTGAAGCAGGTCATGCCTGATAAAACAGTGGTATGTATGCTCATCTTCTGCATCTCTCTATAAATACACTGTTGTGGGCATGTGTATGAGCCACATGCACAAGTTGTGGCCAGACACATTAATATGCATTATTTTCTGCAGATCTATTATTATGCTGGTGCTAAGACGACACATACTACATACTCCGATGGCTTAGAGGTCCTGCAGTTTCCAACGGGGCAAATAGGTAAAATAAATAAATACACAAGTATCTAGATAGCTATTTATCACACACACGTGACTGTATTGTCTCAATGTTTCAGAAAAACATTATCCTGATGGCAGGAAAGAGATTACTTTCCCTGATCAAACCATCAAAAACTTGTTTCTGGACGGACAACAGGAAAGCATCTTGCCAGATGGTACGATAGTTCGTGTTCAGCGGTAAGTCTTACCTTAACAGGCCATGGACTGTTGCTTCGTGAGGAAGTAGTATAATGCAGTACATATAAAAGTAAATAAACTATGTACTGTGAACATATATTTACTCTTGGTATTTTAGGTTTTCCATCTTTATAGCTTGGAGGAGACACAGAACGCTGAAGGTCTATGTATGCTTTCTCCTGCTTTAATCTGAGTGTCCTGATTTGTGCGTTAATTCCAGGGCACACTTCAGGGTGTAGTTTGGGTGCTTCTAGCACCTCATTGAGTTTTAAGCTTTCCCTGGACTGTTGCAGCGTTACAATTAGTACAGATAATTGAGATAAATACTAGAAATAGTGAGTCATGCTTGTTTTTAAGTCACAGAGATTTTGTGTTCCACCCAGCTGGGATGTATTTTACAGAACACACTTCCCCAGATATCTTTTCAAACTCTTCCTTCATATAGGCTTATGTATTTAATAGTTGTCCTGAAAGCAAACTTAATCATTTAAGTCATTAAAAAAATATTTATTACTTAATACAGAGATGGAAGCAAAACCATAGAGTTTAATAATGGCCAGAGAGAGCTACACACAGCCCAGTTCAAGAGACGGGAGTATCCAGATGGAACTGTGAAGACTGTGTATATGAATGGACACCAGGAAACAAAGTACATCTCAGGAAGAATAAGGGTAAAGGACAAGGATGGCAATATTATCATGGACACCAAGGTGTAATTGATAGAGAAACTACTGGGAAGTGTTAGCAGCAAAAATAATGTGTATGTTTGTAAACAAAATCTCCTTTTAAGGTTGAAGTTGTATATATTTGTTTATAGTTTTTCTGAAGTAAATTTATTTTTCAATGGGTATTAATAAATCAGTGTTGTTCTTATATAAATTCTTCAGTCTGCTCCTTTTAGGAGGTAGTGTTCTGTTGTGTGCAAGTCTAGTGTTATCAGCTTGGCTGGCAGGGAAGCCTGATCAAACTTCTGCAGTCCTTAGGGTGGAAGTCAAAAGGAAAAAGACTTGGGAGTGAAGGTAGTGCTGTTCAGTTTGCGATACCTGGCTTAATTCCAACCTTCTACCCCCTGGGAACCACTTTTACTTACTGCTTGACTTTTATAAAGGAATAGTGGCTCTTCCTTCTGTCAGCTACAGGCTCTTCTTTTTCTTCATTAGCTTAGTTGGTTTTCATCCCATCATTAGAAGAAAACAGAAACAAAACTTACTTGTGAGCTACTGCAACTATTATTAGATGTGGACCATGGGAGAGTCTGATTTCCACTTACTTGTGAGCTACTGCAACTATTACTCATAAGGCTAGGACAGATGTGGACCATGGGAGAGTCCGATTTCTCAGACACTCATTAAAATACCTTTTTTCTCTCTCCAAGTGGAGGGCAACATCTCAACTCAATAAGGGTGGTCTCCATCCTGACTTTTTGCCTGCTAGTGTCTGCTCCATTACAGCAGGTGCAGAGAGGGTTGCTTCATTCTT